AAACCGATTTTTTTCCAAAATAAGTAAAGAAATTTATCTTAAAGTAATCTTACAAAAATTACTTCAATATTATAATATAAGAAAAGTTATTTAGCTTGTAAAAAAAAAAACACATTTCGTATCAAATGCCGCTCATCAATTTTTATTTTATGATAAAACTACATATAAATATTACAGAACAAATTAAGACGTATATTTTACATACACGTAAAAGTTTCAAAAAGCTTAAAATTACCTGTAATGTAACTAATGATAACTAATAAAGTAAGTTAAAACTATCAAAACGAAAACGAATAAATAAATATAACCACATGACACTGATGCTACAAACAATGCAAATGGAGACTCTTCATTGACTTTTCGAAGGTGAGCCTTAAAGCTATTTTTTACTGTAGATCTGTGTTTTTCAACCTGTGGGTCGCGACACCCAGGGGGTCACAAAGCCTTACACGGGGAGTCGCGGGTAAAAGAAAAAGAAGTGTTTGTAGGTTTTTACACTACAATAAAATACCTACAATTTCAGTGAGAAGGCTGTGCCTGTTTATTTTACAGTACAATTGGTTTTTCGATCGATATTTAGGTCTCAACAGAAAGAAAATTAAATACGTAGTTTTTAAAATCACTGAAATAGTTTTAATATGGCCCTGGGGGGTCGCCAGAATTTTATAACTTGTAAAAGGGTCGCGTATTCAAGAAGGTTGAAAAACACTGCTGTAGTGTAACAAAAGCTTTCTATTCATATTGGCCATGCAAAGTATCATACAAAAACATGAAGCAACTTCTTGCAAATGTAAATTATCAAGAACATAAATCGAAGATGTGTTGTAATTTCAAAGTTACAGCATTATTACTTGGACTTCAGCTGGGATGTACGAAGTACTGTTGTTTTCTCTATGAGAAGGATAGCAGAGACCGAGTAGTACATTTTAAAAGAAAAAACTGATCATAAAGAAAACCCTTTGAACCTAAATCAAAAAATGTTTTTTTCTGAACTGTTAGTAAAACGGAGTTCGATCATATAATCGTTGCCTATATAATTAGAACTTATGAAAAACTTTATGATATCCATGGATTGAAATGGCCCAGAATTTAATGTTTTAGAGAGACATTTCCAAAGGTTAGTGAAGTAAAAGTAAGAGGGGATATTTGTAGGTCCACAGATTTCCAAGCTTCTCAAAACAACGCACGTTGATAGCGTTATAATAGTTACTGAAAAAGAAGCTTTTTTTGTACAATTACATAATAAATCGCTAGCTATAATATAAGGGCTAAAATTAAAAATAAAATTATAAAAACTTACTTGGTGAAATAAAATGTGTGGTGGATATACATATCTGGTAAAAAATATTCTTCAATTGTATGAATATATTTTTAAAGAAAATTATAATTAAATATATCTTTGTAATAAAACATACATAAAAATAAAATAAAATGTTCTTTACTCTTTAAATCTTAATCACTTAGTCAAATAGATCCCTACGAGTGGAATCAGAGACGGTCCTGCTAGGTGTGCGGTGTGTGCATGCACGTGAGCTGCCGAATCCCGAGGGTGCCGATACCGGTTAATGTCAAATGCCTCTTTTGTCGCATCACTAGTATATCTCAAAAGACGGGACAGGGTTCTTGTAAATTTGAAACGTTTCTCAGCATAGCTGTAAAAATCTTAATATGTTAAATGTAATAGTCATTTGTTTTTTAACTAATTCGTTTTAGGACCAAGTGTCCACGGAAATTTCCAAAATTTACAACTTTTAGTCACTTTCATTGAACTGGAAAAATTTCTGTTTATATTACGTCTAATATTACGAAGAAATCAGTCCCACTGTACTCGGCTAGAGATTGGGTCGGTTAATCTTTTAAGTAAATTCCGGCTCTTTCAGCAGGGTTTTATTTATGTCCCAAATGCCCGAATATCTTAATTATTTAACTACTTCTTAAGTAGAAATAAGTCGAAACCAGTTACTTTATACTCGAATATTTGTAGTCTCGGAAAAAAAGTGAAAAAAAACAAATTTTTATGACAACGGATACATAAATCGTAGATTTAAGAAAAATAAATTCTAGAGCTTTTTCTGTACCTCGTGTATCTCTCTCATTCATTAAATTTATTGTAAATTATGCTACCAAAGTAACGGTTAATTTTTTAACATTTTACAAGAATTGTACACGTTTTTTTTCTACATCGCCTTATTGATGGGACATACGAAATCGTAATATCACTGGTTTAAGATTGAAATCCGTAAGTAATATAACATGGGAAAGCAGAATAAATATATAAAATATTTTAATCGTTTTTTTTAAACTTTTGTCAACTGTACAGAACTATTATAAAAACATACCCGTAAATTCTTTTCGGTTGAGTTAAGTTATAAATCTACTCGTAATTCATATAATCGGGCGAGGGCGGCCAAATATCTAGCGAACAGGCGGCTAACAGCCCAGAACCGAATTGGAATAGAATTGGAAGCGTTATATGTGTAGCATCCATCCAAGCTCCTAGGCTTCCATCAGCTAAATCGGGTGAGATTCGTGCTCTGTAAAGAGCATGCGCGAATGTGGCTGTTTGGAAGCTGTCAATACGACGCTTCCACTCTGACACTAATATTCGAATATTCAAAAGCGATCTTATCGTTTTTTTCACGTGTAGTATAGAAATTTGTAATAAGATACATAATGCGGCTATAATAAAATATTGTTCGATTACTTTCATATAATTAAAATTAATATGTATTTATTTTTTAGAAAATACAAGGGAAGCGACGCTTCCACCGCTTCCAATGACTGCATGCCACTGGTTGTCTCTCAAGTTTAATTTGTCAGCCTATACTATTTAAGTTGATTAATTTTAAAAAACCTTCTTCGAATGATGTATACCGTGATGTGCCCAATGGCAACCTTCGATGCTAACCTGCTGGATGGCGCGCCACCCACTACAATTCAACGTATTGAAAAACCACTCCACACTGTCCTCCTATCGCATTGGGCGTCCCTAAAATCACCCCAATCATCTCGCTATACACTGAAACGTCTTTTATACCAATGCATCTCAGGCTCCGCCAAAAGGCGTTGGCAAGTGCCATCACCCACATCTCTAGGGGCTCGCATAGCCCACTGCACCCGCTTTTTCAAATGGCACATGGCTTGAATTACTATCGCTGGCGTCCGTATCAGAGACCGTATATACACAGAATAATATCCCTTATAAGTCAGGAGGGCCTCCCGATATCCCACCTATATCGGCAGAAACATACTCCGACCAACGTGGCCCAGGTTTATCCTTACTTACGCCTAGAAGAGCTTATAAGATTTCCTTCAGAACCCCCAGAAATTGCATGCTCACGATTCCGAGAGATGCAATTGTCAATCTGGCAGGGAAGGATCCTTATAGGGGCGGATGCCTCCAAGTCAAGGATCCGCACGTCGATAGGGATTGTCCTCCCGGACCACAACATCAGGAAGACCTGGCTGTTACATAATTCTTGCAGCTTATACGGGGCAGAAGCCCTGGGTATAAAACGGGCGCTACACCTAAGCTCAAGCCTAGACGGTCCGTCAGTCATATACTCTGACAGTAAGTCCGCCATACAGGAGATAGGCAATATCTCCTTCTCGTCCCCGGAACTTCTTATTGATATCGCGGACAATATTAGTCAACATTCCAAACCCACAGAAATCAGGTGGACCCCTGGCCACGTGGGAATTGATATCAACGAGGCGGCGGACAAAGCCGCGAGAACAGATACCCCTTCAGGCTCTTGGCGTGGGTCACTTATGGCCCGCAACTTAATCCGGGAGTATAGAGAAAAACAAAAAATACAGATCACAGAATCGTGGTCAGAACACTTGCGTAATAAGGGTCGAGACCACCTCAGACTTTCGCCCCCTGGCCTTACAGGCACGCTACTTCAAGGAATACGGAGACCCTTTTGGCCCGCCTGAGAACTGATACTGCCCCTCATAACGGGTTTCTCTGTTCTAGAAACCTACGTGCTTCACCAGACTGTCCACATTGTGGTGCTCAGGAGACATCCGCACATTTTTGGTTGACGTGCCCAAGATATACGGAAGCCCAACAAGAACTCTCTTGTACTCTAAAGATCGATCTCACAATCATCCAGACTTTAACACCCATATATTGGTCAAGAACAGACCTCTCACCTAGACAGCACGTGCAGGCTCTCGAACGTTACGTAGCAAGCACACATCGATTTGACTAATTGCAGAGAATAGTACATCGGAGAAAAAATGACCAGCCAGAATCTTCATATCAGAGAAGGAAAGAAAGAAAGAAAGAAAGAAAAAATTAATTTAAAATACTTATTAAAACTTATTAACATTAACAATAGTAAGAACTTCCACACTGCGAAACTTAATGCAATTAAAGTGTTAAACACCCTTATTGATAATTGCAAGTAATGTCAGGTGCTATGAATAAAATTAATTACTTTAGTTTTATGCGCAGCATATTTTTCACTCATTACTTTAGTAAAATTTTTTATATAGTTTATAGTTCAATGATTTCTATAATTTTTAGAACATAATTCATGAAATTATCATCAGAAATGATGCGTCAAACTTTCAGGACACATTTTAAGATAATAATAATTTTAATTGATATTAAACTCGTTTTATGGTAACAAATATTTCGTTCTGACAGAACAATTGTCGAATTTACATTATTGCAATGCGTTGTTAGTTTCTTATTATTCAAAATTTATAAGGCGAATTTAAAAATTTGTTATTATTTCTTTAAATGCAATCAGATAAAGTGAGTACAGCGTTCAATCTGTTTTTTTTTTTTTTGAGACATTACTTATATTTGGCAAACCCTTCTATTCGAAACTGTAACAAGAGAAATATTTTAAAATTTTAATGTAATATCGAAAAAATAAATATATTTTACTATTATGCTTCCATATAACTAAAAAATATTTCTTAAAAAATTAATGAATAACTTAATCATTTATAATCATTTACAAAACGTCTATTTGTTTTTAAAGGATAAAAACAGAACACATCAGTGTACTGTATGTAAAAAAACATTTCGTTCAAAAGCACTGTTAGATGATCACATGAGAAGTCACACCGGTGAGAAACCATTTAAATGCAGTATTTGCGGAAAACAATTCGCCCATCGTAGAAATTTAATAGTACACAAAATAATACATTCTGAAGAAACACCATTCAAATGCAAGTACTGTGACTTCGCTACGAAATGGAAACAAAGTTTAATGAAACATTTCATGAGAGATCATCCACACTCAAACCCGTCTGAAGTTATGACTGTAAGAATTATGTTTATGTTTATTTTTTGTATTTAATTCGATAAACATTTTATAAAATAAAATACATCGGTTTATCGGTTTATTGAATTAAAGTTTAAATTATATTTCGATATAAAAAATTTAATTAATCATTATAAATGAAAATGGTAATTTTCATTGAAAAAATTAAGAAAATACTTGCTATATCTTATTTGTAAATATCGTAAATATTAATTATTAAATAAGTTCTTTTTTCTATAAGCTTTTTCTAAGATTTATAGATAATATAGAAAAAACACAAGGTGTATTAAAATTAAACTTTTTTTTTATAATACTAGTACTTATGTTTTCATTTTTAATCTGCAATAAATAATTTACTTTCTTTACAAATTTTACGAAAATTAGATTCCACCAAAAAAATCGAAAAAAGTTTATAAATGTGATTCCTGCGGAAACAGTTATTCGTATTTATCTCTTTTAATAAGGCATCAGAAATCACATTCCAATGAACGACCGTTTTCATGTAATATTTGCAACAAAACATTCAAATATAATTGTGATTTAATTGTACATAGAAAAAAAGTACATCCTCAACAAGAAACTGAATCTTTTTACAAAGTACGTAAAAAAATTGTCTGAAATTAATTTGTTAAGTATTACTAGAGTATTAAAATGTACATAAGATAATTTTGTTTATGGAAAAAATTTGAAATCGCTGAGCAGATTTGTCTGAGTAATATTTAAATTATTCTTGTAAGTAATTTCATTCTGTAACTTTCGTTTTACAACAATTCAGAGTTGTTCATAAAAAATGATATATTTGCGTTTAAAACGATAATTTTCAATTTAATCTTTGAGCCATTGGATAATCAGCAAGCAACATCCTTTACATATTTCTATTATTTCATGCTTACATAATGACACGATTAAAATTACACTAAACATTGAAATTACAAATTATTAATTGTCTATCTGTTGAGTTTGATTTACTCTTGTTGTTTATAATTAAAGATAATTTATCAGTAAAATTGAAATGATAAAATTCCATTATTATCCAGTTAATTGTCTGCATTAATATTCGAATTAGTATTCGAGGGTAACTACACTTTAAAACATTTTTTTGACAAATTTTATCGTTGTANTTTGCAAGAAAACATTCAAATATAATTGTGATTTAATTGTACATAGAAAAAAAGTACATCCTCAACAAGAAACTGAATCATTTTACAAAGTACGTAAAAAAATTGTCTGAAATTAATTTGTTAAGTATTACTAGAGTATTAAAATGTACATAAGATAATTTTGTTTATGGAAAAAATTTGAAATCGCTGAGCAGATTTGTCTGAGTAATATTTAAATTATTCTTGTAAGTAATTTCATTCTGTAACTTTCGTTTTACAACAATTCAGAGTTGTTCATAAAAAATGATATATTTGCGTTTAAAACGATAATTTTCAATTTAATCTTTGAGCCATTGGATAATCAGCAAGCAACATCCTTTACATATTTCTATTATTTCATGTTTACATAATGACACGATTAAAATTACACTAAACATTGAAATTACAAATTATTAATTGTCTATCTGTTGAGTTTGATTTACTCTTGTTGTTTATAATTAAAGATAATTTATCAGTAAAATTGAAATGATAAAATTCCATTATTATCCAGTTAATTGTCTGCATTAATATTCGAATTAGTATTCGAGGGTAACTACACTTTAAAACATTTTTTTGACAAATTTTATCGTTGTAATTATTTTTAACTATATATTTTTTACGTAAGTGTTTTTTATAATCATGTTCGATTTTACAAAAAAATTTTTTTTCAAAAATGATGCCAGAAAAAACATGAAATTTTAAATATTTAAAAAGTTTTAATCTGATTTATATTAAACGCTAATTATGTCAATTTTTATGAATTTAAGAAATTAACATTTATTTAATTGAATTCCTTTATATTATATTTATTTGTTGAAGAGCACAGTACATGGGAATAAAGTGCAAGCAGACTATCTTCAAACACCATCAACAAGTGCTCAAGCAAGACAGTCAAATGATCCTGAAGAAGAAGCTTCAGAAGAAATTATTTTTACACCAAGAGAAGCTGAAGAATTTCTTGAACATTTTGACATCGATTTAGAAATTAAAAAGTTTGAAACATCTTCTCAACTTGAATTGTTTTCAGAAGTGGAAACTGAAGAAATTAAATACATATGTCAATTTTGTGGACAACAATTTTCTGACGAAATTTTTTTAAATGAACACAAAAGACAATTTCATCAATCTAATTAATTTCGGACATTTAACTTTGGGCCTATATCACTTTATGAAGATACAGAAGATTATAAACGCTTTTATTATTAATAAATAATGAANGTTAAAAGTTAGAAAATTAAGTTTCGTTTAAATACTGGCTCCCTTTCATGGTCGAGCCACTGTTGCCAGCTAAAACACGTAAAAATAATATTAAAGTAGCCAAGACAGCCAAATATTGTAGCGCCACATCACTAGCGGACATTTGAATTTGTCGACTTGAACACGGTCGGTTAACTGATGTGACGGTTGATAGGGGGTCGGATAATCGATGCTTCACTGTATAAATAAAAGTGATTGTTTAAAGTGAAAATATTAAATAATACACTTGTTATGTCTTATTTGTCAAAATCGTTAATATTAATTATGAAATAACTGCTCCTTCAATAAGCGTACAAAATGTACACAAATGTGACAATGCCGAAGGGTTTCCCTATACTTCGCCACCACGGGACCAAAGGGTCGACATCGCGTCAGCGAAGACTGCAATGACAAATTCGTCGGGACTAACACTACTGTGTCTTCTGGGTAGACACAGAGACAGATACATTCGCAGGTACACACAAGCAGTCATGTCTGTGGAAACTTAGTGTTGGAATGGAGACAGAGAGAGATACCCAGAAGAAGTGCACTTCAAAAAGCTTTTCATTTAACAATTACCGGTTTATTCAGAGAGGCTTTTCACTAACTGGAGTAACCATCGAGGGGGAAGCTTATCATATCAGGAGAGAGAGTTTACAAATGTTTCGCGTGACGACAAATACCTGGAGTTCGAGTAGATCCTTGATGTAGGTTCGTGCTTTGGCCGTCGAAAGAGGTTCTGGATTTAAATGAGTTCGGGTTCTAGTTCAAGTTCCGGTTAAGTTCAGTTGCTACGAAAGGGTCAAGAAGCGGCGAAGGTGAGACGCACACACCTGCATATAAAAGTTTACACTCGCTGACAGGAAAAAGCCTTTTTTGTCATTGTCCTTTCCTGTTTATAGTGGGTCTCTCCTGCGGTTTTCCCATGACTCTACCTAAAGTTTTAGTACTTCGGGCCCAATGATCGAGTTTCACTCGTTACTTCCGAGTGACGAGTGACTTTTGAGAGTCACTTTCAACAAGGAACTAAGTCAGTGGAAAACATTTTAATCGCTAAGTTGATCAATAATTTTTTTCGAAATAAAAAATTATCTTATTCCGAAGAACAAAATGTTGCAATAATTTATAATGATTTTATAATAAAGTTTTCCCGTAAATGCGGTTTTCACACAAAATAAAATAATTCACAAGATACATTAAAATTTCACTTCAGTTTTAAAATAGTAATAAGTTATATCATATTTCTTTTTTAATGTGTAATAAATACCTAATGCAACTAATAAATTATATGATACTTAAATTCCACGAAGGAAATTGATAACAAAAAATCATAAATGTGATAAATACAGAAAAAGTTTTGGATGGTCATCTGGTTTGACATTGCACTTAATATCTCATAAAAAAATACGATTATTCTCTTGTGATATTTGTAAGAAAACGTTAAAATATAAATATAAAAAAGTTCATCCACAGAAGTAAACCGATTTTTTTCCAAAATAAGTAAAGAAATTTATCTTAAAGTAATCTTACAAAAATTACTTCAATATTATAATATAAGAAAAGTTATTTAGCTTGTAAAAAAAAAAACACATTTCGTATCAAATGCCGCTCATCAATTTTTATTTTATGATAAAACTACATATAAATATTACAGAACAAATTAAGACGTATATTTTACATACACGTAAAAGTTTCAAAAAGCTTAAAATTACCTGTAATGTAACTAATGATAACTAATAAAGTAAGTTAAAACTATCAAAACGAAAACGAATAAATAAATATAACCACATGACACTGATGCTACAAACAATGCAAATGGAGACTCTTCATTGACTTTTCGAAGGTGAGCCTTAAAGCTATTTTTTACTGTAGATCTGTGTTTTTCAACCTGTGGGTCGCGACACCCAGGGGGTCACAAAGCCTTACACGGGGAGTCGCGGGTAAAAGAAAAAGAAGTGTTTGTAGGTTTTTACACTACAATAAAATACCTACAATTTCAGTGAGAAGGCTGTGCCTGTTTATTTTACAGTACAATTGGTTTTTCGATCGATATTTAGGTCTCAACAGAAAGAAAATTAAATACGTAGTTTTTAAAATCACTGAAATAGTTTTAATATGGCCCTGGGGGGTCGCCAGAATTTTATAACTTGTAAAAGGGTCGCGTATTCAAGAAGGTTGAAAAACACTGCTGTAGTGTAACAAAAGCTTTCTATTCATATTGGCCATGCAAAGTATCATACAAAAACATGAAGCAACTTCTTGCAAATGTAAATTATCAAGAACATAAATCGAAGATGTGTTGTAATTTCAAAGTTACAGCATTATTACTTGGACTTCAGCTGGGATGTACGAAGTACTGTTGTTTTCTCTATGAGAAGGATAGCAGAGACCGAGTAGTACATTTTAAAAGAAAAAACTGATCATAAAGAAAACCCTTTGAACCTAAATCAAAAAATGTTTTTTTCTGAACTGTTAGTAAAACGGAGTTCGATCATATAATCGTTGCCTATATAATTAGAACTTATGAAAAACTTTATGATATCCATGGATTGAAATGGCCCAGAATTTAATGTTTTAGAGAGACATTTCCAAAGGTTAGTGAAGTAAAAGTAAGAGGGGATATTTGTAGGTCCACAGATTTCCAAGCTTCTCAAAACAACGCACGTTGATAGCGTTATAATAGTTACTGAAAAAGAAGCTTTTTTTGTACAATTACATAATAAATCGCTAGCTATAATATAAGGGCTAAAATTAAAAATAAAATTATAAAAACTTACTTGGTGAAATAAAATGTGTGGTGGATATACATATCTGGTAAAAAATATTCTTCAATTGTACGAATATACTTTTAAAGAAAATTATAATTAAATATATCTTTGTAATAAAACATACATAAAAATAAAATAAAATGTTCTTTACTCTTTAAATCTTAATCACTTAGTCAAATAGATCCCTACGAGTGGAATCAGAGACGGTCCTGCTAGGTGTGCGGTGTGTGCATGCACGTGAGCTGCCGAATCCCGAGGGTGCCGATACCGGTTAATGTCAAATGCCTCTTTTGTCGCATCACTAGTATATCTCAAAAGACGGGACAGGGTTCTTGTAAATTTGAAACGTTTCTCAGCATAGCTGTAAAAATCTTAATATGTTAAATGTAATAGTCATTTGTTTTTTAACTAATTCGTTTTAGGACCAAGTGTCCACGGAAATTTCCAAAATTTACAACTTTTAGTCACTTTCATTGAACTGGAAAAATTTCTGTTTATATTACGTCTAATATTACGAAGAAATCAGTCCCACTGTACTCGGCTAGAGATTGGGTCGGTTAATCTTTTAAGTAAATTCCGGCTCTTTCAGCAGGGTTTTATTTATGTCCCAAATGCCCGAATATCTTAATTATTTAACTACTTCTTAAGTAGAAATAAGTCGAAACCAGTTACTTTATACTCGAATATTTGTAGTCTCGGAAAAAAAGTGAAAAAAAACAAATTTTTATGACAACGGATACATAAATCGTAGATTTAAGAAAAATAAATTCTAGAGCTTTTTCTGTACCTCGTGTATCTCTCTCATTCATTAAATTTATTGTAAATTATGCTACCAAAGTAACGGTTAATTTTTTAACATTTTACAAGAATTGTACACGTTTTTTTTCTACATCGCCTTATTGATGGGACATACGAAATCGTAATATCACTGGTTTAAGATTGAAATCCGTAAGTAATATAACATGGGAAAGCAGAATAAATATATAAAATATTTTAATCGTTTTTTTTAAACTTTTGTCAACTGTACAGAACTATTATAAAAACATACCCGTAAATTCTTTTCGGTTGAGTTAAGTTATAAATCTACTCGTAATTCATATAATCGGGCGAGGGCGGCCAAATATCTAGCGAACAGGCGGCTAACAGCCCAGAACCGAATTGGAATAGAATTGGAAGCGTTATATGTGTAGCATCCATCCAAGCTCCTAGGCTTCCATCAGCTAAATCGGGTGAGATTCGTGCTCTGTAAAGAGCATGCGCGAATGTGGCTGTTTGGAAGCTGTCAATACGACGCTTCCACTCTGACACTAATATTCGAATATTCAAAAGCGATCTTATCGTTTTTTTCACGTGTAGTATAGAAATTTGTAATAAGATACATAATGCGGCTATAATAAAATATTGTTCGATTACTTTCATATAATTAAAATTAATATGTATTTATTTTTTAGAAAATACAAGGGAAGCGACGCTTCCACCGCTTCCAATGACTGCATGCCACTGGTTGTCTCTCAAGTTTAATTTGTCAGCCTATACTATTTAAGTTGATTAATTTTAAAAAACCTTCTTCGAATGATGTATACCGTGATGTGCCCAATGGCAACCTTCGATGCTAACCTGCTGGATGGCGCGCCACCCACTACAATTCAACGTATTGAAAAACCACTCCACACTGTCCTCCTATCGCATTGGGCGTCCCTAAAATCACCCCAATCATCTCGCTATACACTGAAACGTCTTTTATACCAATGCATCTCAGGCTCCGCCAAAAGGCGTTGGCAAGTGCCATCACCCACATCTCTAGGGGCTCGCATAGCCCACTGCACCCGCTTTTTCAAATGGCACATGGCTTGAATTACTATCGCTGGCGTCCGTATCAGAGACCGTATATACACAGAATAATATCCCTTATAAGTCAGGAGGGCCTCCCGATATCCCACCTATATCGGCAGAAACATACTCCGACCAACGTGGCCCAGGTTTATCCTTACTTACGCCTAGAAGAGCTTATAAGATTTCCTTCAGAACCCCCAGAAATTGCATGCTCACGATTCCGAGAGATGCAATTGTCAATCTGGCAGGGAAGGATCCTTATAGGGGCGGATGCCTCCAAGTCAAGGATCCGCACGTCGATAGGGATTGTCCTCCCGGACCACAACATCAGGAAGACCTGGCTGTTACATAATTCTTGCAGCTTATACGGGGCAGAAGCCCTGGGTATAAAACGGGCGCTACACCTAAGCTCAAGCCTAGACGGTCCGTCAGTCATATACTCTGACAGTAAGTCCGCCATACAGGAGATAGGCAATATCTCCTTCTCGTCCCCGGAACTTCTTATTGATATCGCGGACAATATTAGTCAACATTCCAAACCCACAGAAATCAGGTGGACCCCTGGCCACGTGGGAATTGATATCAACGAGGCGGCGGACAAAGCCGCGAGAACAGATACCCCTTCAGGCTCTTGGCGTGGGTCACTTATGGCCCGCAACTTAATCCGGGAGTATAGAGAAAAACAAAAAATACAGATCACAGAATCGTGGTCAGAACACTTGCGTAATAAGGGTCGAGACCACCTCAGACTTTCGCCCCCTGGCCTTACAGGCACGCTACTTCAAGGAATACGGAGACCCTTTTGGCCCGCCTGAGAACTGATACTGCCCCTCATAACGGGTTTCTCTGTTCTAGAAACCTACGTGCTTCACCAGACTGTCCACATTGTGGTGCTCAGGAGACATCCGCACATTTTTGGTTGACGTGCCCAAGATATACGGAAGCCCAACAAGAACTCTCTTGTACTCTAAAGATCGATCTCACAATCATCCAGACTTTAACACCCATATATTGGTCAAGAACAGACCTCTCACCTAGACAGCACGTGCAGGCTCTCGAACGTTACGTAGCAAGCACACATCGATTTGACTAATTGCAGAGAATAGTACATCGGAGAAAAAATGACCAGCCAGAATCTTCATATCAGAGAAGGAAAGAAAGAAAGAAAGAAAGAAAAAATTAATTTAAAATACTTATTAAAACTTATTAACATTAACAATAGTAAGAACTTCCACACTGCGAAACTTAATGCAATTAAAGTGTTAAACACCCTTATTGATAATTGCAAGTAATGTCAGGTGCTATGAATAAAATTAATTACTTTAGTTTTATGCGCAGCATATTTTTCACTCATTACTTTAGTAAAATTTTTTATATAGTTTATAGTTCAATGATTTCTATAATTTTTAGAACATAATTCATGAAATTATCATCAGAAATGATGCGTCAAACTTTCAGGACACATTTTAAGATAATAATAATTTTAATTGATATTAAACTCGTTTTATGGTAACAAATATTTCGTTCTGACAGAACAATTGTCGAATTTACATTATTGCAATGCGTTGTTAGTTTCTTATTATTCAAAATTTATAAGGCGAATTTAAAAATTTGTTATTATTTCTTTAAATGCAATCAGATAAAGTGAGTACAGCGTTCAATCTGTTTTTTTTTTTTTTGAGACATTACTTATATTTGGCAAACCCTTCTATTCGAAACTGTAACAAGAGAAATATTTTAAAATTTTAATGTAATATCGAAAAAATAAATATATTTTACTATTATGCTTCCATATAACTAAAAAATATTTCTTAAAAAATTAATGAATAACTTAATCATTTATAATCATTTACAAAACGTCTATTTGTTTTTAAAGGATAAAAACAGAACACATCAGTGTACTGTATGTAAAAAAACATTTCGTTCAAAAGCACTGTTAGATGATCACATGAGAAGTCACACCGGTGAGAAACCATTTAAATGCAGTATTTGCGGAAAACAATTCGCCCATCGTAGAAATTTAATAGTACACAAAATAATACATTCTGAAGAAACACCATTCAAATGCAAGTACTGTGACTTCGCTACGAAATGGAAACAAAGTTTAATGAAACATTTCATGAGAGATCATCCACACTCAAACCCGTCTGAAGTTATGACTGTAAGAATTATGTTTATGTTTATTTTTTGTATTTAATTCGATAAACATTTTATAAAATAAAATACATCGGTTTATCGGTTTATTGAATTAAAGTTTAAATTATATTTCGATATAAAAAATTTAATTAATCATTATAAATGAAAATGGTAATTTTCATTGAAAAAATTAAGAAAATACTTGCTATATCTTATTTGTAAATATCGTAAATATTAATTATTAAATAAGTTCTTTTTTCTATAAGCTTTTTCTAAGATTTATAGATAATATAGAAAAAACACAAGGTGTATTAAAATTAAACTTTTTTTTTATAATACTAGTACTTATGTTTTCATTTTTAATCTGCAATAAATAATTTACTTTCTTTACAAATTTTACGAAAATTAGATTCCACCAAAAAAATCGAAAAAAGTTTATAAATGTGATTCCTGCGGAAACAGTTATTCGTATTTATCTCTTTTAATAAGGCATCAGAAATCACATTCCAATGAACGACCGTTTTCATGTAATATTTGCAACAAAACATTCAAATATAATTGTGATTTAATTGTACATAGAAAAAAAGTACATCCTCAACAAGAAACTGAATCTTTTTACAAAGTACGTAAAAAAATTGTCTGAAATTAATTTGTTAAGTATTACTAGAGTATTAAAATGTACATAAGATAATTTTGTTTATGGAAAAAATTTGAAATCGCTGAGCAGATTTGTCTGAGTAATATTTAAATTATTCTTGTAAGTAATTTCATTCTGTAACTTTCGTTTTACAACAATTCAGAGTTGTTCATAAAAAATGATATATTTGCGTTTAAAACGATAATTTTCAATTTAATCTTTGAGCCATTGGATAATCAGCAAGCAACATCCTTTACATATTTCTATTATTTCATGCTTACATAATGACACGATTAAAATTACACTAAACATTGAAATTACAAATTATTAATTGTCTATCTGTTGAGTTTGATTTACTCTTGTTGTTTATAATTAAAGATAATTTATCAGTAAAATTGAAATGATAAAATTCCATTATTATCCAGTTAATTGTCTGCATTAATATTCGAATTAGTATTCGAGGGTAACTACACTTTAAAACATTTTTTTGACAAATTTTATCGTTGTAATTATTTTTAACTATATATTTTTTACGTAAGTGTTTTTTATAATCACGTTCGATTTTACAAAAAAATTTTTTTTCAAAAATGATGCCAGAAAAAACATGAAATTTTAAATATTTAAAAAGTTTTAATCTGATTTATATTAAACGCTAATTATGTCAATTTTTATGAATTTAAGAAATTAACATTTATTTAATTGAATTCCTTTATATTATATTTATTTGTTGAAGAGCACAGTACATGGGAATAAAGTGCAAGCAGACTATCTTCAAACACCATCAACAAGTGCTCAAGCAAGACAGTCAAATGATCCTGAAGAAGAAGCTTCAGAAGAAATTATTTTTACACCAAGAGAAGCTGAAGAATTTCTTGAACATTTTGACATCGATTTAGAAATTAAAAAGTTTGAAACATCTTCTCAACTTGAATTGTTTTCAGAAGTGGAAACTGAAGAAATTAAATACATATGTCAATTTTGTGGACAACAATTTTCTGACGAAATTTTTTTAAATGAACACAAAAGACAATTTCATCAATCTAATTAATTTCGGACATTTAACTTTGGGCCTATATCACTTTATGAAGATACAGAAGATTATAAACGCTTTTATTATTAATAAATAATGAAAATAAAATTTGAAGCAAAACAATTTCTGTTACACTAAATTTTAAATGTAAAATCGCCGTAAAAATTTAATTTATTTTCTTTTAATAATTATTCGATAAATATTTGTGAGTATAATATTTTTCTTGTGTCATCAAAATCACAATGAACCAAATAGCTTCATAACCTTTTATATACTTCTTTTTGTAAAATAAACTATCTATACTTAATAAATTTACTGAAAACAATTGAATGTTTGATGCAATTTGATCTATAACTAACTTAAACAGTATTTATATACGAAATGTTATCTTATTCTACATGTAAAATGATGTTTAATATATATAACACACCCAGACAGTAAATTATTTAAAATTTTAAAACACCAATCATTAATTGAATTTTTTACGTCAAAAAATCGTTTTTTGCAAAAAGGGCATATTTTGATCTTTTTGGCTTTTTGAAATACTACTACTAATATTTCCCGATATGCTATTTCGGAAATGAAAGCGTGGCAACTTCACTTTTAAGCTTCACAAAATAAAAACATTAATCAAAAGTTCTTTGACATGGAAGCCGAGAAGGCGTGTTAATTCCGCATTAAAACGTAGGTCACGCGAGCATGGGCATGCGCGGGCGGTCGGATTCCGAATGGAGAATAGTTAGACAGCGCAACAGAAGTACTGCATTCATTCTCTAAGTTTAAGAACAATATTCTTTTAACAATTACAAAAATTGGTTACAGGATACCATTGTGTCGTCATTGGAAGCGGTGGATGCGCCGCTTATCGTTGTATTTTATAAAAATAAATACATATTAATTTTAATTATATGGAAATAATCGAACAATATGTTATTATAGCCGCATTATGTATCTTATTACAAATTTCTATACTTCACGCGAAAAAAATAGATAAGATTGCTATTGTATATTCGAATACAGTCGATCCCTCTATAACACGGTATATACGTTCCGTTCTTTATGAATCCATTTCGTAGGAGTCCTTGCCAATCACAGCCCGACACGTATACAATTTACGCATTATGGCCGTTTGAAAAGTTTTCTTCAATAAAATTAATCNTAGTTTATAAATGTGATTCCTGCGGAAACAGTTATTCGTATTTATCTCTTTTAATAAGGCATCAGAAATCACATTCTAATGAACGACCGTTTTCATGTAATATTTGCAACAAAACATTCAAATATAATTGTGATTTAATTGTACATAGAAAAAAAGTACATCCTCAACAAGAAACTGAATCTTTTTACAAAGTACGTAAAAAAATTGTCTGAAATTAATTTGTTAAGTATTACTAGAGTATTAAAATGTACATAAGATAATTTTGTTTATGGAAAAAATTTGAAATCGCTGAGCAGATTTGTCTGAGTAATATTTAAATTATTCTTGTAAGTAATTTCATTCTGTAACTTTCGTTTTACAACAATTCAGAGTTGTTCATAAAAAATGATATATTTGCGTTTAAAACGATAATTTTCAATTTAATCTTTGAGCCATTGGATAATCAGCAAGCAACATCCTTTACATATTTCTATTATTTCATGCTTACATAATGACACGATTAAAATTACACTAAACATTGAAATTACAAATTATTAATTGTCTATCTGTTGAGTTTGATTTACTCTTGTTGTTTATAATTAAAGATAATTTATCAGTAAAATTGAAATGATAAAATTCCATTATTATCCAGTTAATTGTCTGCATTAATATTCGAATTAGTATTCGAGGGTAACTACACTTTAAAACATTTTTTTGACAAATTTTATCGTTGTAATTATTTTTAACTATATATTTTTTACGTAAGTGTTTTTTATAATCACGTTCGATTTTACAAAAAAATTTTTTTTCAAAAATGATGCCAGAAAAAACATGAAATTTTAAATATTTAAAAAGTTTTAATCTGATTTATATTAAACGCTAATTATGTCAATTTTTATGAATTTAAGAAATTAACATTTATTTAATTGAATTCCTTTATATTATATTTATTTGTTGAAGAGCACAGTACATGGGAATAAAGTGCAAGCAGACTATCTTCAAACACCATCAACAAGTGCTCAAGCAAGACAGTCAAATGATCCTGAAGAAGAAGCTTCAGAAGAAATTATTTTTACACCAAGAGAAGCTGAAGAATTTCTTGAACATTTTGACATCGATTTAGAAATTAAAAAGTTTGAAACATCTTCTCAACTTGAATTGTTTTCAGAAGTGGAAACTGAAGAAATTAAATACATATGTCAATTTTGTGGGCAACAATTTTCTGACGAAATTTTTTTAAATGAACACAAAAGACAATTTCATCAATCTAATTAATTTCGGACATTTAACTTTGGGCCTATATCACTTTATGAAGATACAGAAGATTATAAACGCTTTTATTATTAATAAATAATGAAAATAAAATTTGAAGCAAAACAATTTCTGTTACACTAAATTTTAAATGTAAAATCGCCGTAAAAATTTAATTTATTTTCTTTTAATAATTATTCGATAAATATTTGTGAGTATAATATTTTTCTTGTGTCATCAAAATCACAATGAACCAAATAGCTTCATAACCTTTTATATACTTCTTTTTGTAAAATAAACTATCTATACTTAATAAATTTACTGAAAACAATTGAATGTTTGATGCAATTTGATCTATAACTAACTTAAACAGTATTTATATACGAAATGTTATCTTATTCTACATGTAAAATGATGTTTAATATATATAACACACCCAGACAGTAAATTATTTAAAATTTTAAAACACCAATCATTAATTGAATTTTTTACGTCAAAAAATCGTTTTTTGCAAAAAGGGCATATTTTGATCTTTTTGGCTTTTTGAAATACTACTACTAATATTTCCCGATATGCTATTTCGGAAATGAAAGCGTGGCAACTTCACTTTTAAGCTTCACAAAATAAAAACATTAATCAAAAGTTCTTTGACATGGAAGCCGAGAAGGCGTGTTAATTCCGCATTAAAACGTAGGTCACGCGAGCATGGGCATGCGCGGACGGTCGGATTCCGAATGGAGAATAGTTAGACAGCGCAACAGAAGTACTGCATTCATTCTCTAAGTTTAAGAACAATATTCTTTTAACAATTACAAAAATTGGTTACAGGATACCATTGTTTCGTCATTGGAAGCGGTGAATGCGCCGCTTATCGTTGTATTTTATAAAAATAAATACATATTAATTTTAATTATATGGAAATAATCGAACAATATGTTATTATAGCCGCATTATGTATCTTATTACAAATTTCTCTACTTCACGCGAAAAAAATAGATAAGATTGCTATTGTATATTCGAATACAGTCGATCCCTCTATAACACGTATATACGTTCCGTTCTTTATGAATCCATTTCGTAGGAGTCCTTGCCAATCACAGCCCGACACGTATACACTTTACGCATTACGGCCGTTTGAAAAGTTTTCTTCAATAAAATTAATCGATTTTAGACTAATCCGACTCAACATTTCTAAAATATGTATAATTTTTTCGGAAATAATCCGTATAAACTATGCTATAAACAAACAATTGTAGGATTACTTACCGAGTGTGCACCGTTCGACGACGCTATTGCTTAAGCTTGTTTTTTTCGCGGAACACCGCTCTGCATAAATTCCATCCTTAGGTGTATATTACCATATACATCTAAGGATGGCATATATGTTTTTAAGTTGACTGAGGAAGGGCAAATAAGGTCCGAAACGTGTGTCAACACGTATCAACGAAAAATGAAATAAAGAAGTGAATAGTGCCAAGTTATCGTTATTACGCTACATTGCGCTCTAAGAATAAATAAAAAAACAACACGGTTTCAAAACATGGTAGAAGAATTTTAAAATAATATTTTAACAAACATTTTTACTAACGCCAAATTTTCATAATTACCTATGTGAGTAGCAACATACACAAATAATCCCACGCATNGTGCGGTGTGTGCATGCACGTGAGCTGCCGAATCCCGAGGGTGCCGATACCGGTTAATGTCAAATGCCTCTTTTGTCGCATCACTAGTATATCTCAAAAGACGGGACAGGGTTCTTGTAAATTTGAAACGTTTCTCAGCATAGCTGTAAAAATCTTAATATGTTAAATGTAATAGTCATTTGTTTTTTAACTAATTCGTTTTAGGACCAAGTGTCCACGGAAATTTCCAAAATTTACAACTTTTAGTCACTTTCATTGAACTGGAAAAATTTCTGTTTATATTACGTCTAATATTACGAAGAAATCAGTCCCACTGTACTCGGCTAGAGATTGGGTCGGTTAATCTTTTAAGTAAATTCCGGCTCTTTCAGCAGGGTTTTATTTATGTCCCAAATGCCCGAATATCTTAATTATTTAACTACTTCTTAAGTAGAAATAAGTCGAAACCAGTTACTTTATACTCGAATATTTGTAGTCTCGGAAAAAAAGTGGAAAGANTAGAAGTTTAGAACGATTTAATTAATTTGATTTAAAAACTCCCATAAAAACAATAGCGCAATTAATTACCTAATTAATAAATCGTCATAAAATATTTTCGTGGCAAAAATAATTCATGAAATTCGCACAGATCATATATAACGATGTATATATGCTGATGTATATATGAATATTTTAAAAAGCAAAAATAGTGATTACCTCCATTTCATAATCTGATTCTTATTTAGTAGCGGAAAGTGCTGCTACTGAGAATGCCAGTCCGATTCAATTGATGTGAGCGGAACCGTGTAATGCATTTAAGAAAAGACAAATGATGTGTGTTTTTTCACCTATAGCCTGTAAGATTTCTAGGTCGTTTACGAGATTGCTTTATTTCTAATATTCTTGACTTATTTATCTCGGCTGCTTTAATAAAAACATCAAGCTAATATTTAAATAATTCGGCAGTTCGTTTGCCTTTAATAATCAGGTTTACGAAGAAATATTTATACTTGCATACTTCGACTATTGATCATATTATCTTGGATCTGTGTAATATGAGCAAATATAACTTTATTAAAACATTGCTGCAGTTCAGAAAATAAGTGGATTATGGTATCCAAGTACTTGCAGTATGAAGATAAATCTATAAAAAGTTGACTGTGGCAAAACAGTCTTTACATTATTCAATTTTGAAGAAAATCGACGTTTTTTTTTCAAAATGTTCATATTCCATTGGTTCACTTTCTATATATAATATTANACTAAA